GTATTAGTTTTTTTTACAGAATAATAAATAATATTTATAATAATAATATTATTATAATTAAATAAAATAACTAAAAGAAATTAGTATAAAAAAAAGACAACAAAAGGACAAAAATACAAAAAAAACAAACAAAAAAAAATGATTATATAGGATATAGGGGTGCCCTTAGTAAAAGATAGAGATGCCATTAGCCTCTTCCGTTAACAAAACTCATGATTTATAAAATTTATGAGAAATGGATGTACATTTTGTTTTTGAATTCGAGAGCTTGTATTCAAAAATCTTTATTCATGTTGGATTTATTCTTTATCTTGTATTAAAACATGTTAATTAAAAAGGTGTTTAGGATTGTTTATTTAAAACAACTTATTCTTTTCTACAAAGAATTTATTAACTTATTATAAGTCAGAAGGGTTTAATTCTTTTAAAAACTCATTATTACCGGTATAAATTGTTTATCCAAACATTCAAAAATACTTATTACTGATGTCACACCGAAATAAGTAAATAAGTTGTTTTTATAAGCAATCACACTCACCCTCTAATTAGTTCGTGAAAATGGAGCTTTAGAAAATTATACTATGTAGTGATAAGTTGTAAACTTGAGTTATAATATTTTTAGAACAATAAAGTAAATGTTTTATAATATTATAAATATATTAGTACGAATATATACTTACGTATAAATATATATTCATGATTGAAATTCTAGAAATATTGTTTTATAATATATCGATATATATAGAGAGAGAGAGAGAGAGTTTGATTCAAATACAATCCATCACATATGTACAACCAATGCAACCCAATATATTAAGATATTTATGGAAATGATGAGAGTTCATTTATTATGATTTGAATATTTATGGAAGATGAATATGGTTCATTAATTATGATCGATACTTTATATTAGGAAACAATAAAAACTTCTATAAAATCACATATTAATCAAATGAAATGGACGGTTGAAATTGAGTTGTATTGGTTAAAGGTTGTATAATAACCAACATCTCTCTCTCTCTCTATATATATCAAATTAAAGAAGATAAAATACTTATTTTATATATAATTTTTTATTAATAATTATATTTAAGATAATTTGAGAAGGGTATCGGTTTCTAAAAATCCTCCAAGCTTCCATTTTTATCATTTACAAAAGGGACAATTGAAATGTTATAAAAATGAAAAGATTTTATATGTATTATTGATTTTACATTTGATATTTTAAAAGTTGTATACATTCATGAAATATTAGGAGCTTTTTTTAGAACAAAACCCACATGCTTATAATATAATAGAAGTCTACTCGCACAATACATCATAACACGTTTCTATTTCGTCTCTCTTAACTATATTTTATGGACTTATGTGGTTTTAACAGAGCAAAAAGTCTTGTGTTGATTATCAGTTTTATGAAATTTTGTGGTCTAGACTTAACGTTTATCTTATATCTGAGTATGTTTTATCAGTTGATTATAAGTTAGTTTTATAAGTGTACTATGAACATCTAATTAAATTATCTTAAATAAATTATTACATCAACTTAGGAAAAAGAGCCATGAGATTAAAAAAGATTAATAATAATTAGTAATATTCAAAAATAATAATAATTAGCCGCTTAGAGGGAATTTTAAATACAAATTATCTAATTAACATAAACCATACAACACAAGTTCAACCGTTCATCTAATCTAAGGATTCCGTAAAGAAGTACTTTTTATACTTTTCGCAATAAACTAGTTAAAATTCATGCGATTTAATTCAAGTCCAAAAAAGGTCGGATGATGCAATCAATGGTGGAGAGCGGGCATTCACCTGGAAGATGCTTTGTTGGTGACGTTGCAGTCGGTAATAGAAAGCAGGTTGAGAGGAAGCCGAACAGAAAAAGGGTGTCGTCGATGATGTGGGTTTGGAGAAGAGACGATCTTGAGAGAAGAGAGGATCATGAGGAGTGGTGTTGTTGATTTACAATTGTACCAGACCTAAGGTGCAAATACTCCAACATAAGACTTCGCCATTGTCGTACTTATCGTTGGAGCTTTTGCCGATTAAATGTGCAAGGCACATAAGAGGTTTAATAGGAGGAAGTCAGACGGAGTTAGTTTCAAGGACCCAAACCAAATACTTTTGTATAGCATGAGGGTTTTCTTGCAATAAAATTTTTATAAGAACCCAAACCAAAAAAAAACACAACAAACTACAAGGACCAAAATTGCAATTTACTCTAAGCTTAACAATATAAAATATAGTCATGTAATAATTAAAAAAGAGTGAATTACATTTTTGGTCCCTCTTGAGTAGCTATTTTTTGGTTTTCATACCTCCAAATCATAAAGTACTTTTGGAACCCAAACTGATCCTCCCACTAACACTGTTAAAGCATGCTCCGTTAAGTGGCTCATGTGTCCCTCACATGAGGGGCAATTTGGTCTTTTCCCTCCCAGTAAACGTCTTTGTGTTCATCCTTCCTGGTAGCTCCCTTAAAAAACGACTCCCATACCTCTCAATCGACGAAAAAATCGACTCCAATACCTTTTGATCGATGCCTCTTTGAACCCCCTCCCTATCCTCGTAGCTCCGGCAAAATCGGCTTCCATACCCCTCATTCGACGCCTCTTTGAACCCCTCCCCCCCCCCTCGTAGCTCTAGCGGAATTTTGCTTTAAGAAAGATTCAGATGTAGTTGATTTTGATTTTGATTTCAAACTCGATGGTTTTGATTTGAACGATTCAAATGAAACATATTAATGAAGCAACAAAAGACGAAGATCACACAATTCAGATCTAGGGTTTTGTTCAAACGATTTCGAACTCAAGATTCAAGTTTGATTTGTTTTGTAAAATTCCATATTCATATGTATTGAGAAATCTAGGGTTTTGATTTAGGACTTTTTTTAATTGGATTCAAATTTAGATTCTTTAGGTTATTTGTATGAATTTGGATTTGATTCTTGGTTATGTTCATATTCATCTTCAAATGATTTAAGGGTTTTTCTTGTTCATGTTCATCGTAATCAGATTCGGTTTAATTTAAGGATTTTTTTTTCTTGTCCATGGCTTTTTCTCGTTCATGTTCATATATGGTAATCAGATTTAAATTCGTTCCTCTTCAGATGATTTAAGAATTTTTCTTGGTTATTCTTTTTGTTTTTTAAA